AGGTACACCAAGTTTTAACGAGGTTCGGCAACTGCCTACGTCCTCGGGAGCCACACAGATAATTTCTTATTAATCAAACAAGAAATTATAATTTAGGAGCAGATCTCAAAACTGAGATTTCTCAAATAAACACTGTAGCTACAATGTTAATAATTAAAGGGTATGAACCCTTTCAATTATCACTTGAGAATAAATGAATAACCCCAATATAAACCCCCTCTTTAATTCTCTCTCTCTCTACTATAATCCCCCTTCAAACACAATGAAAGCTGGACATTAAATCGCTGCTGCGATTTGGGCGTTTTCGCCGCCGCCAGAGAAGAAAGATCGGAGGAGAGGGGGAGAAGAGCTACAGTTTCCAAAACCCTAGGTTGGGGGTTTATATAGGCGGAGATGAGGGGGGGGGGGCTGACTGTCGCCAGCGAATAACCCTGACGCAAAGGTCGGGTTCGCCAAAAAGAACGCAGAGCTCGGGGAAGGCGAAAGCAGAGCTCGGGGAAGGCGAACGCAGAGTTCGGGGGAGACTCGAACGCAGAGCTGTGGCCGCCGGAGGTTCAACATGACAGTTCAAAATTGGTCTCCCGCCCCTTCCTTGAATATGCGGTGCACGTTGCACCAATTAATGTGACTTGCACATGGCCAAAGGTTAGTACAGTGTGAGTTGACTCTTACGAAGTCAGTATAAAGACATGAAGGATGTTTGAAGCACAATAACAGCACTGTGGCCAGCTTCGGAGCAATAGAAGGAAGGGAAGCGATTAGTTAAACCTAGAATAAAGATGGAAGTCGCTAAGATCCTTCATATGGTTGGAGGAGTAGGAGAAACCAGCTACGCTCTCAACTCCACACTTCAGGTTCTCTCTCTTTCCCTTTATACACACACGACAGAGGTAGAATCTATTAAGTTTCCTGTTTACTCCTACAACTTTTAAAAACAAAAATTGGTCAGACCAAAATTGTTGTTAGTACAAAATTGTTGAGAGTGACTAAAATAATCGGCCGAAAATCCTAATTTGTGGATTATGTCTATGCCTTCTGTTCAAAAAAAAAAAAGGTAAATTGCAGAAAATCGTGAGTAATTAAGTTCAGTGTTTGTGAGATGACCTCCAAAACCGTGGAATTTTAAGCCCCAGTAAATTTTGCAAGTAAACGCTCGACTTAACACATGCCGAATAATGACTATACCTCATAACTTTTGACATTTGTAAAGGAAAAAAAAAGGATCAAAACCCAAAATAGTTCACACTATTTTAACAAAACCTCCATTACAAGATGTTGATATTTTTGAGTTTTTTTTATGACTATTAGAGCATCTCCAACCATAAAACCCAAAATGGTGTAGTTTTTACACCAAGTTGGTGTAGTTTTTACACCAAATCACTATTCCATCTCCAACCCATTACACCAAATGTTACACCAAAAAGAATATTCCTTTTATTATTCTTATCTTTTAACATTTTTATCTATTTAAAATATTTAACAAATTATATAATTATATAATACATTACATATAATTAATTATAATAATATATTTTATGAATAAAATAAAAATCTTAAAAATAAATGCTAAATCAAATTAAAATATTATTTTCATAAATTCAACTAAAGATTACATTTAACATCACAAAAAAAAACATCACACTTGCAAGCAAAAAAATAAAAATAAAATAAATGGTGTAGTTTTTCTTATTTCCTAATTTATTGCAATTAGTGTAATTTTTTTGTGTCCTAATTTTTATGTTGTATTTTTTTTATCTAAATGGTGTAGTTTTTCTTATTTCTTCATTTGGTTCTAGTATTATGAAATTTTAAGTGTTTGGATTAAATTATCTATTTTTTCCCATTGTTGAATTTTATTTTAATAATTATTTTATACTCTAATTTTTGTGAAAACTTCGCCGAGGTGGAGAATTGTGAGTGGGGGCCACGTTGCTTTCCTTTACGCGTGAAAGGATGTGGATACAAAGAGTCCAGTGGGTAAAGAAGGCCACCATGTGAAGTTAACGCTGGTTGTTAAAGTGTGAGGTTAAAAGGCCCACCCGAAGACTTAATGAAACCGCAGCTATATATATATCTTTTGCAGACCTAGGGCTGTGTGCGAAGGAGGGGAGTATAGTCGGCTTTTTCTTTTTCTTTTTCTTTGGCGGCTGCGCAGGTGCAAGATCAGGGGGCGAGAGCAGTTCTTTTTGGCTTGGGCTTGGTGCAGAGAGAGAGGAAAGTCGGCTGAGAGAGAGGGGACTGTCTCGGGTTTTGTGAAGAGAGAAAAAGTATTTGGAGGCTGACATTTTCTTGTGAAGAAAAGCAAGGAGCCTATTTGAGGGTTTAGATTGTGAGAGTTGTAAACCCATTGTATTCTTTCTCTCTTTAATAGTAGATCCCCCCTCCTTGCCCCGTGGACGTAGGCAGTTTACCGAACCACGTAAAAATTGGTTTGTTTGTGTTTGTGGCCATTGTAATAGTTTTTTTAGGATCCCTCGACGCGCAGTCCTAGAGCTGACGAGATGAAGAGCTAATATCCCACTTTGATGAGATATTAGGCTTTAGATTCTTGTTCCCTTTGAGAAACAAGAATTCTTATCGATCTTTCTCTCTTATTGTGCACCAGAAACTCTGCCGAAATTTCCGCTGCGCACAACAGTACTTTCATCCGTGAAAATTTGTGGCTTAATTCTTTTTTGGAATTAAGCAAGAAAATTTAAAAGCGTTGCGGAGTTTTCTAAACTCCTCAAATTTATTGAAGGTTAAGTGAAATTTAAAGAAAGAAATTTGGCAATAACGTCAGCAATGGCTAAACTTCTTTGGGGTTTCTGAAATCTACCTGAAAATCCCAACAAATTGATTGTGCAAGCTTAAAACCATTCATAAAACATTAATTAAACTTCATATCAAACTTCTTTAAATTTCAAATGATTCTATAAAGCTTTCAAGCTTATTCCCAGATAACATTATATATTTGCTGCTTGTCTCTAGAAAAAAGCAATGCACATAGCTAAGCCCATAGTCCAACAGAGCATATCTCAATTATACTGCAAGCTCCAACCTACTGAAAGCTTAACCATAGCTGATCTCGGTTGTTCATGTGGGCCTACGACTTTCATCACCATCTCCGAGATCATGGACGAAATTTATGAGGTTTGCCACCGATTAAGCTGTCAAGTGCCGGAGCTTACGTTCTTCTTGAATGATCTCCCTGGTAACGATTTCAATTCTATATTCAAGTACTTGCCGACGTACGATAAAATGGTTAAAAAAGAGAAAGGTAGCAAATATGCACCATATTATGTTGTTGGAGTTCCTGGATCCTTTTATGGAAGGTTGTTACCAGAGGAGAGCATTCATTTTGTGCACTCCTCGTATAGCCTTCACTGGCTATCTCAGGTTATATTAGCTCTCATTAATCATTATGCTTTCAAATTATTACTTCTTTTTGCGGTGATAGACCCTGTCGTATCGATGTTTTGAGCTTACTGCTCTCCAGTTTTATTTTTTCTGATAGAACGACTCTTTTATCTTCATGGAGCATGTTTCTCAAAAAATAATTCTCTTCTTTCAGGGTAAAGAGTTAGGGTCTATCTGCAAAAATAAAACTAGAGGGTTAATAGGTTGAAAGCAACAATATATGCAAAGGGGTCTATCCACAGTTAACCCTTTTTCTCAATCAAGAACTAAATGAAATGTGATAGGTACCTCGAGGACTTGAAGATGATTCAGGAGCTCCAGTAAATAGAGGAAATATTTATATAGATGATACAAGTCCCCCTGCTGTGATTAAATCGTATGTTGCACAATTTAAACAAGATTTCTCAACATTTCTCAGTTTGCGCTCGAAGGAGATTGTATCCGGGGGGCAAATGGTCATAACATCTTTAGGCAGGAGTGATGTAGATCCATTAGGAGGGGAAGTGAACTGCCTTTATGGATTATTAGCAAAAGCATTGAATTCTTTAGTATCAGAGGCATGTGAAGTTACTTCTCTTGTTGAACGTGTAACATTTTTTTTTTGATGACTACATACTAATTTATTTTGATCGACTGAAATCAGGGAGTTGTAGACAAGGAAAAAGTGGATGCATTTGATCTACCGCTATATGCACCTGCTATAGAGGAAGTAAAGGAATTGGTTCAAAATGAAGGATCATTTGAATTTTACCAAGCAAAGGTTTTCGAGCTAAATTGGGATCCTTTTGATGATCAAATGGATGATTTTGTTGCGGATAGTTTCGTAAGCGGAGAAAATGCGATGAAAACTATAAGAGCCGTAATGGAGCCCATGCTTGCGAATCATTTCGGAGGTGCAGTAATGGATGCTTTGTTCTCAAGATATGCCATGAACGTTGCAGAACATCTCAAGAAGGAGAAGACCAAATATGTCAATTTCACCGTAGCCCTCACAAAGAGAGGGTGATCAAGAATTTATCGAGAAAAATGGAGTGGATATATGTTATCTCAATTTCTATGTAATCTAAAGATTAATTGTAACATGATGCACATGTTGTGCGGTTCTATAGTAAGAATATTGTCTTGTCAAAACTAGAAATATTTGTCTAAGTTATGCCTAATGTTTGTATCGTTCTATGTAATGCTTGATGTCATGAGTTAAGAGTAAGATGTCATGTTCTTGGTATCTAGCATGTTTTCAACAATTTTAGTCTTATGTACTTGATATACAAGATGTTAATCTGTGTTGGCAACGAATTTTCAAAACCTCATGATATTTTTTAATAAAAATATATTAGTTTTTTTTCTTTTAAACCCTCCAATTTCATTGTAGTTTTTATGAAATTCATCCTTCTGCACGTTCATCAGCAATGACCATTTTCCTTATTGGAGAATGAGCCCGTTACCTCATCTGGGTAATTGAAATAAACGCGGAGGAAAATAGCATCCGGAATTTGTACCCGACCCGATAAGGAAACAAAAGATTTGGGG